TATGTGCTTGGCCATGACTTGACACGTACACTCGCACATGCATACTGATTTCACGGCACAGACAGTTGATACTTCACACTGCCGGCCTTCATTATGACGTTGGGGACCCAGATCTGCGAAGATGGTCAAAGGCAATCGGTCGGCCGATTGGGAGGGTGATACGCCTCAGCAGAGACGGCTTCAACGTGCCGCTATCGTTTCCTCCCGGTGACGGCTGGGCATATGGCCCTGCCCTGGATTGGGCCGGCATAGCCCTGGAGACGGTAACCAACACGACGCTGGGCGACTATATGAAGCAGCACGTCCTCGACCCTCTCGAGATGCACGATACGGGATTCCGCGTCAACCAGCTCCCTCATACAGCAGGCCGGAGGGCTGAAGTCGCGCTCCGCGATGCCGACGACAACACTCTCTCGCACTTCGACGTCGTCCCAGAAGAGCCCGAGATAGACAGCGCCGGCGCCGGCATCCACACGACGGCAAACGACTACGCCCGCCTGCTGCGCGCCATGTTGCAGGCCGAGCCGGGCGTGGTGTCGGGGAAGACGGCGAAGGAAATGTTTTCGCCGCAGCTGGACCCGGCTCAGAGGAAGATGCTGCAGGATACCTTGTATGCGCCTTATCTGAAGCCCGCTTTTATCCCCGAGTTTCCGGACGGCATCGAGTTGCAGTATGGATATGGGGGGTTGTTGGGTATGAGCGACTGGCCGGGGCAGCAGCGGCGGAAGGGGAGTCTATGCTGGACGGGGGCGGCGAATTCGCGCTGGGTGAGTTTTATTCCAATTTGTCTTATCTATGGTGGTTCATTCTGCATTTATTCGGTGCGTTTATTGTGTGATTTGAGGCTGACTGTGACTGCTGGTGATAGTGGATTGATCCGGAGTCGGGTATTGCGGCTGTGCTGATGGTGGCCGTCTTTCCGTTTGGCGATGTGGTGGCAACCAAGTTGTATGCGGACCTGATCAAGGCCGTGTATGACGAGCTTGTTTAAATGAATGGAGAGGACAATGGAGTGAGGACATTTATGAGACAACGCTGTCTGAGACAAATGGCATACTTTAATTTGACGCTGCTGTATGCCATGCCGTTGAGGCATCTGAAGCGGCGATGATTCAGAGTTGAAGCCGTCGTTGAAGAATGCTGGGCTATGAATAGAAACCAGAGCTGCAGAACAGACTCCATTACAGCACCTATTCCTGTCGCAATATTACGGGGTGTTCCCTGTACGAGTGTGCTCGACCCCCCGTCTAGTGCGCGGATCCTCCGCCTTTGTTGGTTTAGATGATCGGACCACCAATTTCAACGTTCCGCGCTCTGTGCACACACTCGTATATACTCGTACATATACTGTAAGCACTGCCATCCAGTAAAGTATTCTTCTTCTATTCCAGTGTAGGTACGGAGTATATACTGCATCTACAGGCTGATGGTGGTGTACACGGCTGTACATCAGATGTCAACAATGCTGCACATCACCCAATTTCTTACCCCATCCGTGCCTGTTCCATTGCTAGGTACATGTCGGTGAAAAAGACAACACATCAAATGCATCAATACGCACACAGGTGCCGCTTTTCCCACCGCAATAGGCGAGACCCCTAGAATAGAATACTAGCATAGTACATGTAGCCTCGTATTGTTCTCTTTCGCCGTCAATGCCCAGCGTCTTGGTCTTGCACCATCAACGATTGAGGCTCCATTGAGAAAATAAATCCATGGCTTGGCGGCCTAGGCTTTTTTTCTCCAGCGATTTCAATTCGTAGCGGCTCCGCTCTGTGTCTAGTCCCACCGCGCTGGAGGCTTTTAGTGAGGCCCCGGCGCAAAGTGCGTGGACCCTGCAGCGCATTCTCGGCCGCTATAGAATCCCATGTTGGCTTTGACATGAGATGGGATTGCAGATGCGGTGACATTTCGACAGTTCGAATCGGGATTGTGTGACGTGACGCCTCTTGACTTGACTCGTAACTTCTGTCTGTTCCACCCCTCTCGTACCGGCACTAGTTGTTCCGGCCTTTTGCATTCATTCAACCACCTCACATTGAACGGATTCTCGGCCCTAATCATCAAATACGACACGCTGCAGAGGCTGACGTGAATACGAATCGAGACGCCCGCTATGCCTTTCCTGGCGCCAACACGAGCCGTGACAGGCAACTGCGGCGCTAAGGCCGAGTTCACAGCCCCCGGAATACAGCGGCTGCAACGCCTAATCAAGGGGAGAGACGCTGCTGATGTTTCCATCTCGTCTCTCCATCTCGTTCTCTCCAATCTCTCTCACCTCACCTCACCTCAATTCTTTCACGCTCGCTCTGCAGCAAAACCATGACGCAGCTATAACACACTCGTTACCGTTATTCTTCGCTGTCGTCGGTTCTGCTCGTTGCTCTTTCTTGCATAGAATCTGTTTCATTTCATTTTTGGGCTTCTATTGACAGCTCTTATTGATTTATTTACCATTTGATCCTTCTTTTTTCCCCATACTAGTAGCAGTATTACTCGCATTTCTCTCGCTACCTAATCAGACATCACACGATACATCCATCTCGTTAATCAGTACTCTCTTCGCCTTTTCCCTGGTGCTTGCGCGGCACCTCCGGACTCTGTATTCATCATGCGCGCGACATCCGTTTTGGCCGCCGCCTTGGCCCTGGCCTCTCACACTCTCGCCGGCAAGATCAAGTATCTGGGCGTCGCAATCCCCGGAATCGACTTTGGCTGCGACATTGACGGCAGTTGCCCAACCGACACCTCGTCTGTGCCGTTGCTGAGCTACAAGGGAGGTGATGGCGCGGGCCAGATGAAGCATTTCGCCGAGGACGACGGCCTCAATGTCTTTCGTATTTGTGAGCATTGCTGTATGACGAATTCTTGATGCTGATGCTAATGCCCAACGTGCAGCCGCTACATGGCAGTTTGTCCTCAACAACACGGTGGACGGCGAGCTGGACGAGCTCAACTGGGGATCCTACAACAAAGTCATCGACGCCTGCTTGGTGACTGGTGCTTGGTGCATGATTGACATGCACAACTTTGCTCGCTACAACGGCGGCATCATCGGCCAGGGAGGAGTGTCGGACGACATCTTTGTCAAGCTCTGGGTCCAGATTGCAAAGTACTATGTGGACAATGACAAGATTATCTTTGGCCTGATGAACGAGCCCCACGACATCGACATCAACATCTGGGCCGAGACCTGCCAAAAGGTCGTCACCGCCATCCGAAAGGCCGGTGCCACGTCCCAGATGATTCTCCTGCCCGGAACCAACTTTGCCAGCGTCGAGAGCTACGTGTCCACCGGAAGCGCGGATGCTCTCTCCAAGATTACCAACCCCGATGGCAGCACTGACTTGCTGTACTTTGACGTGCACAAGTACCTCGACATCAACAACTCGGGATCCCACGTCGAGTGCACACAGGACAATGTCCAGGCCTTTGAGGATTTCGCGACCTGGTTGAGGCAGAACAAGCGACAGGCCATGATCTCGGAGACGGGCGCATCCATGGATCCTTCGGTAAGCTTATTGACCAATTCACTCACTGGCTGACTGGTCAGCATCTTGGAGAATATTCACTAACTCGTCGTAGTGCATGGTTGATTTCTGTGCTCAGAACAAGGCCATCAGCGCAAACAGCGATGTATACATCGGCTTTGTTGGCTGGGGTGCTGGCAGCTTTGATACTACGTACATCCTGACACTGACTCCCCTGGGCGAACCCGGTAACTATACCGACAACAAGCTCATGAACGAGTGCATTCTGGACCAGTTTACCCTGGACGAAAAGTACAAGCCCACGCCCACGTCTATCTCAACGGCCCCGGATGAGACCTCCACCTCGACCGCCGCCGCGTCCAGTAACGACTCCTCCTCACCATCGTCCACGAAGCCCATCAAACAGACTAACCCCTCTCCCACAGCGAACCCGGTCACAAAGCCATCTCCGGACACCAACAATGCCTCGGACGACAAAGACAAGGGCTCAGCAGCAACGCCAAGCACCCAGGCTCTGACTGGCACCGTCATGCTGACGGTTGCTGCTCTTTGCTACATGTTGGTCGTGGTTTGATGATTTAAATATACCAAGCATGATTTGAAAGAGAGATGGTTTATATATACATATGAGTACATACAACTAGAATATTTGTCGATTTTTTTTTAATACGCCATGTAGAAATGCATATAATAATTGAGCGGCTCGGGGCTGGGATTTTTGTCATGTTTTTATTTGTCCATGTATGCTGTCTTGCCCCGATGTGGGAACTTAATGAATTGGTGCCACGAGGGTTGAAGTCGGAATTAACAATGCCATTGATCTCATACGAGGGCATTTTTGGCATTTTGGCATGTGCTTTCTTTGTACTAGGCGTTTTCGCTTCCCACGTGTCGGTTGCATGGAGGCGAGAAAGTCTAAAGCCTCCCTTGAGAACTTGCATGAGGGTTGGCGCTATTTTTAGATGAGTGTTTCTGAGGACGAGCGTCACTGGCTATGATGGATATGTATTGATCTGTAATTAAAAGAACGCATCTTGAATAGCTCTAAATGTTTCTAGTGCAGCGGCAATTGAGAGATGCATCATCACGACTTGTTCATGGACAAGAAAATGCGTAGAGTAAGATTTGTTGCAGATTTGCTGGATTGGCATTTTCTGCAGAAGCCTGTATAACGCTGTATTGGAAGCGCCCATTTCAACATAGGGGATATGGTGTAGGGGTATCACGTTTGCTTTGCATTGTTCATTCAATACAAGCCTGTAAAAGGTCGGGGGTTCAAATCCCTCTGTCTCCACGTGTTCTTTCTTTTTTTTTTTTTTGCTTTTTTTTTTCCCTCTCTCAAACTTAACACTGCACTCTTTTTTGTTGGTCCTTTGTGGGGTGTTTGTGGATGTACCTGTGGGGTGGTCTCGGAGCTAGAGAATTTTTTCTTTTTGTTTGAGGGATTGATTTGGGGGTAGAGGTATATAAGGGGGTGTAGAGAGGTATTAGTCATGTAAAATAACTAGAGGCCAAATGGTCTAGTGGTATGATTCTTGCTTTGGGTTCTAGGTGACGCAACTGCAAGAGGTCCCGTGTTCAATCCACGGTTTGGCCCCTTTCTTTTTTGCCTTTTTTGCCCTTTGTGATGTTTTTGTGTTGTATTTTGATTGTGCTTTCGTTTGTCTACTTCACTGCTTACTTCGTGTTGTTCATTACCTATTAATACTAGAGGATTGAGTAGTACATAACCCAAATCCATTTTGCCCAATTCCTCCACTCTTTGAAGTTCTGATTATAAGAGTATATGCATGGATCTATCTGTCTCCTAAAGCTACTATACACACAGGTTGTTATATACAAATGCATCCTATTTTCCTTATCGGCCACCTCCGCCCCTTATTCAGCACTCGATACAAAGGTCCCTAGGGTTTAAGTCACAACTTGCACTCCCTTCAACGCCGCCGGTGGACTCTTCCATGGAGAAATATCTCAACACGGAAGGCTCCAAAGCACGGTATGGATGGGTGGGTTCGATGCTAAATGCCTTAGCATCACGACTTGAAACAAAGGTGGGATCGACGCTCGTTGCTCATAGGTCGGGCCGTGCGGGAGCATCCAGATAAGCTTATTTGACGACGGTGCCTGGGCCACTCGTTCTGTGGAATGGGGCCGGCATGTTTTGTCTCTTCTTCGAGGAATTATCGTGATGTTGTAGAATAGAGAGGCGCATCAGAGACGATAGACGGAGGGGATACAAGTCGTCGATCTTGGCCATTGGAGAAATGCCAAGGCTTCCAAAGAACAGGGTCTCCCAAACTAGTAAATTTAGAGACCATTTCCCGCCAATCGACAAATCCTATCCTCGAAGCACTTCTCTTCAAGTGCGTCCATTCATCCATTCATACGGCATGCTAGCACGGTAATCTCTCCGGAGAGCTCCGCCACCGCCGAACTGATCTCGGCAGCTTGCTTCCTTGCCATTTATATCTTCTTGACCTTCCCAGTTGCGCAACCTCTTCCGGCTTGGGGTTCACCTTGTCGCACATGGCTGCAGATGCAGAAGCTGAGTGGCTGGCAGTGCATGTCGGACACGTCGGTATGCGAGAGTGCCAAGAAGGGCCAAGAGAGGCGGCGGCGCATCAGGCGGGGGCAGTTCGCTGTGTTTGATGCGGGAGGGAACTATTCCAACCTCAAAGGGGAACCGAAGATGTATATAGATGTGATGTGTTTAGGAAGTAGTAGGATTGAGTGTTTTTGCGGATCCGCTGGTGTAAGATGTGAGGAGGTTGATGATGGTGCTGGATAGTAGTAGCTTCGCACTTGAGCCAGAGTTGGCAGGCGAGATGAGATTGTGAGACGTTGAACAAGAAGAAATTGAATCATGGCGGATCGAGTATAAAACGACGTTACTTTCCGGCTCTGCATTGACATCTGCTAAAGTCCTCCCACCATCGTCACACCAATCTTTGTCCTCCCATCTCTCTGCTTATACTCCACCACCACCAGCCAAAATGAAGTTCCTCAGCCTCCTCTCTCTCGTCGCCTTTGTCAGCGCCGCTCCTTTGGATGAGCTCACCAAGAGAGATACTGCTACCTGCGGCAAGGTTTTCTACAGCGCCAGTGCCGTTAGTGCTGCTTCCAACTCTGCTTGCAACTACGTCCGGGCTGGCAGCACTGCTGGAGGCTCGACTTATCCTCACGTGTACAACAACTACGAGGGATTCCGCTTCAAGGGCCTTTCTAAACCGTTTTATGAGTTTCCTATTCTGTCTTCGGGCAAGACTTATACTGGAGGTGCGTGGTTCTTGATGTTTTCGTATGAGTAATGGGATGTGAGACTGACTTTTGAGAATGATGTAGGTTCTCCTGGGGCTGACCGTGTTGTGATTAACGGCCAGTGTTCGATTGCTGGTATTATTACGCATACTGGTGCCAGCGGTAACGCTTTTGTTGCTTGCGCCGGTACTTCTTAGACGATTGTTGATGGGGGTTGGATGGGAAAAATGGTGTGGCAGAGAAGACTATTCGGATACAAAAAAGGACAAAGATGCTTGCATGGTCGAGACATGTGAGATATATACAAGCAGTATTGATGAATTGATGGCAAAATAAGAACCCTTAACCTTTGGTGGTGAAAGCTGTGCCATGTTGAATTGTGTGCTTTGTGAACTTGAGCTGGAGCGTTGGGATGTGCAGATTACATGATCTTATCACCGCCTCTCAAAAATGGCGGTATATGAAGGTTTTTGTGGGTTTGGTTTTTTTATTCAAACTTTCATTGAACGTAACACGATAGATCACATGGCCATAGAACCATAGAGCAAGACATCCATGGATCTTGAGACGAGTGACGAGAGCGTACGGGGTAGAATGCTGAACTTCCTCTAAGGCTGAGACAAGGCAGCGCCTCATGACTGCTTCTGGTTAGTCATGTATTAGCAATGAAACATTTCTTAAAAGATTCAGCTTCCGCATTGCTCACATAAAAAGAAAGAAAAGAAAATACACGGTCGATCTCATGCGATTACAATTGCCTTTACAGCCATCTTTTCGCATGTATTGTGTTTCGCAAAAGAAACATTTATATATGCGTTAGTGGCAGTCTCTGTCATAACAGTCCAGCCACAGGCAGAGTGCCAGAGTGGTTAATGGGTATGACTAGAAATCATATGGTTTCGGCCTCGCAGGTTCGAATCCTGTCTCTGTCGGATTGTTCTTTTTGACTTTTTTAGACAAATCATTTTATATTTTTGCCCCATTTGGTATACAATTATTTATTTTCTTTCATCTACGAAAATAGACATTTTCTGATGTGCTCGTTGAGATGTGTCTTAACTCTTTTGCTTTTTTGGTCAATTTCAAAGTGCACACGTATTTTAGTATGAGAAGCTACACGTAGCTAATTCCACATATCATTGCACTATATTAACCATCCCGCATCAACACTCTTGATCGCCATGTAGAGACCATCTATAAGACAAATCATCAATTTCAAGACATCTAACAGAATCATTTTTATAGCATTGGATCTCTCTCCCTCCACGCGATGCGGATAATTTCGGCGTCTTTCGTCGGGCGCATCGGAGCGGGCGCGTGCCCACCCTGCAACACTGCAACACACATATTACCATCTTGGAACCACCTGCATCTTGTCTCAGCCTTGGCTGATTTGTCTAATCGTCAGCTGCAAGGAGTTGCTGCGAGCTGAAATGTTTCTGCATTCGAATGCGGGGTAATAAAAACGACAGACCGCCCTCATTCAGTCAACTCTTCAACTTGGCATCACTCAATAAACATTTACTCATCTCTCCGACGTGGCCTCATACAATATTGCTAAGGCTACCTTTACGAGGACGACGATGAGTTCCGATGATGGGAAGAAACTGGATTTCGTCAAGGCTATTGCCTCGGACGGCGATGTTATACTTGTCGTCGGAGAGCAAAAGGTCGAACTGAGAGTCCATTCCCAGTGCCTCGTCAGTGCTTCAAAGGTCTTTGGCGCAATGCTCGGCCCGAACTGGAGCGAAGGCCAAAATCTTTCCAAAAACTCGCCGAAAGAGATTCCGCTTATAGAGGACGATCCCAAGGCGTTATATACAATTTGTTGCGTCGTCCATCACCGAAACGACATTCTACCTGAAAGGATTTCGCCTCGAGAGTTGCTTCAGATTGCCATTGAGGCGGATAAATATGATCTTCGGACTGCCCTCCTCTTTGCGAAGGCGCAGTGGTTGCAGAGAAAGAATATCACCGATATGATGGAGTTGGCATACCTCATGGCGGCAGCCTTCTTGTTCGACGATATGGACATGTTTATAGAGCATAGCCAAGCTCTCATTCTTCAGCACCAAGATTCTTATATCGAACTTCTAGCGGACTCTACGTTATCCCAAATACTGCCTCCTAATACTCCTCGTGAGCCAAGGCCTATATCTCGGAAAATTCGGCCCAATTGCTAACATTTGTAGATTTATTAGAAGAACGCAGAAATCGGATGAGAGCGGAAATAGGGGAAATAATGCTCAGGGAGACGAAAAATAGCTGTTCCTGTGGCTGGGGTAAAAGCCGTAGTGATAGCTATCGAGATCTATTGTATGAGTATACTCCTCTGAGGATACTGGGGACTCCCATCTCGAAAGTCATTGAACGGATCCAGTCGATTTCGTATGACGGTAATCGGCAATACCACGCGAGTACTTCGAGATATGACAAGGATTACTATCACGAACCGGCCAAGTATATCGCAACTCTTGCTGAGAAGCTGGAGAAAGCAAAGAGGAGAGTCAGCCTTTGTCTCGATTGTGTGCAAGGTAGTGGCGAGACGGAATCCTGCAGATTTGAGCATGAAGACAATTACTACCGGTTCAACTGAGTTGTCCTCGGTTGAAATGAGGTCATGTTACCACGTTGGAAAATCTTTGTGTTCTTTGATCTTTTTCAGCCACATTGCGGTTGTCAAAGGCTGGCGAGGATAGGCCTCATCGGATTGAGCAATGATCAGCTCTGCCTTTGTTATAAGACTGCTACTGTGTATACAGGCATCGTCTAGTCCTACCCCAGCGTCCTTCGCGAAATGGAAATCTTAGCGGTCCAGGGCATTTGCTCTTTGTTCTTTTGCTTCTTCCTCTCTCTCTTTGCTACCCCATCTCTGTTTGCTTCTCCATATCTCTTTTGTTTTCTCTTTCTCCCCCACCTTCTTCCTTTGTTTCTTTTTCCCTAGGCGCCTGTGGCTACGTGAAGTGTGCCCAGGCCACAGCACGCTGCAGGCGTTATAAGTAGCAGCGATTTCGCTAGCATTCAAGAGAATACCTTGAGGACTCCTGTAGCATTCTTCTGTTTCTTTGATTACCTCTTTGAGCAAGTCTACTGTCAAATATACTAGTAATCACCAAGACATCACAGAAACCAACCGATCACAGCTTGACATCATATTTCTTTTTCACTTCTCTATCAAACCTGCGTCTTAGATCGCCTTGAATCTCGCCATGACAACTACCAAGCCCAGATCCGTCGACGAATACATGATAGGATGGATCTGCACGCTGCCAGTGGAGTGGATAGCGGCATCAGGTATGCTGGATGACATACATTTCAGCATTGAAAAGCCCTCGAATG